GATTGAAACTCTTATTCTTAATCGCTATAGAGAAGTTTTGTAATTACTCTTGCTATATTAACTATAAATTTACAGTTCGGTTTTTGCGGAAAAAATGGTACAGGTGATCGTCGAGAAGAGTTGATGTAATTGATAAAATTGTATAAAGTTATATATATCACTAATTATACTTTCATAATATATATTATAATTCTAATATTAAATTATTAAAAGTTTAGCTGATAGCATTTGTAAAAAAAAAAAAAAAACAAAAAAAAAATTTATGTAAATAGTAATAAACTATTTTTTTTTGTTATTAAGACTGTTTTCTTAGTCAATTAGATTTTATTAATTTTTATTACAGAGTTATGCATATAGTAATCTTCTAGAATTTGTTTATTTATTTATTTTTTTCAGCAGTCATGCTAATACTTTTATTAAATCAAATTTTAACAATTGTTAAAACATTGCTACATTAGTTGATATACTAATCTAGTGATTTTTCTCAAGTACTAACTCACTCAGTTACTATAATAGTACCTTAAATGATCTGCTATAGTGATCTTTCTCCTCTTTACCCTTAGATTCTTAACTGAAAACTAAAAAGTACCTTGAAGGATAGTCACCACAACTCATCATGACTGCTATAGTTAGTGCTATCCTATCCTTAATCTAGGATATAATCCTAAAAAAAAGATAGAGTACAGCCTAACTATGCAGGAAAAAAATAAAAATTGTTACATATAATGAAAAGAATAAACTACATATTATATAAACCTAATATGTAAGAGAAAAACTTGCTAACAAGTTAAAAAACCCTAACATATATAACAAAGAGAAAAAAAGAAAAGCACTTCTCAAAAAGAAATATGAAAAAAATAAAAATATTATGCTATACAACAAATGAAAGTGCATATCTCTATAAAATCTTTTTACGTGTTAACTCCAATTTTGTTTATTCCACTGTAATAAGCTATTTCACGTGTTTGTTGTTTTCATGTAAGGTCATATAACAACAAAACAAAAAAGAGGGTCATCTAAAGCAGAGTAGAATCACGTGATCAAATTTTATTTGTCAGATAAGACAATAATCATGATTGGCTAGCAATCTACAAAGTTTTTTCTTTCATGCTGTTTTTAATCTTGTCTATATCTAGGCCTTTTTTTTTTGTCACTGCAGCACTGAATTGTTGTGTTGACTGCAAACAAACTTGAACAAAACTTTAAAACTTAAACAAAACTTTAAACTTGAACAAAACTTTAAGTAGCTTTTAACTTCCCGTCGTCTATTTTTTTTTTTTTTTTTTTTTTTTTTTTTATTACATAACCATGAGAACTAAACAACAGTTTTATCATAGTAAATGCTATACTTTTACTTATCTTAATGCCATACACCAGTGAAGATTAAACCCCTGATATTGTTTTGCATCAATCTTTCTGTAAAATAGATTTTTTGGACATCATATATATATGTATATTTTTTTTGATTATATACTTTTTTTTTTTTTTTAAATTATATTTTGAAGAAAACTTGAGCTTAATAAGAATATAAAATGGATTTAGATTCCTGTGCCGCATCTATATTAAAGACAAACCTTACTTCGGATGATAGGTGAAATCTTCTTTTTAACTTTAAACTTCCTTTGGAGGTTCCAATAGAAGATTTTGATGAAAACTGGTGGCTTTTAGTGACAAACATGTGGATGCAATGGAATATCTATAAATATGTAAATAGTGATATTTGTAAAGTTTTCGCTTGCTATTTTACAAAGCATCAAAGTTCTAGCACCTGGCAAAAAGAAAATGTTCTAGTAGAAAAACACTAAGTTACAAAAACCCGACTACCTAGATTATGTGAGGCAAAACTAAAAATTTCTTAGTTAGTTTCATTACAAATAGTAAAAATCGAACATTATAAAAATTCTCCAAACCACAGTCATTCTCTAGAAGAAGTCAATAGGATTAAGCATTTATAAGCAATTCGAACCCTAGTAGAGAATGAAGCAGTTAAAAATTATTTACCTTCAGTGATAACTGCTGCTGTAAAAGAATTCGCGATGATTAAGCTAGGTCTCGGGTCAAGTGTACGTGAATTAAAGTGAAAAGAAGTAACCAACATTAAGTATAAAGTCTGTGGGATAGTAGAAGCTCATCTCATTGGTAATTCCAACTTAAAAGTAAATCTTTCAAATGCTATATCATTTTTAATAAAGCAAGGATATCAGGTTGAACACTTTTGTATTCTCCAAAAGAAAACTAAGGGTATCATTTTTGCGCATTCCGCGCAGTTAAAAAAACTTTAGCATCACAGCTGATTGACACTTATTGATATGACTCATAAAACTAATAGATATAATTAGCAACTCTTCACTCTGTATGTTCGTAATATCTATGGCTGCTGGGACATAGGCTCGTATCTTTTTGTTAGTACTAAAGATAGTGATACTATTGAAAAGGCATTAAAAATAATCAGAAATAAGTTTTGTTACTGGTTCCCTCGTTATATACTTTTTGACCAAAGTAGTATCGAGGCAAAAGGTGTTAAAAAAGCATTTTCTGGGGTAAACGCTAGTGAACAAGAATATGAATTAATCCTTTGCGTCGTTTACATAATGAGGACTTGGTTGTCAAAAATTTATGAAAGATCTTATGGTTGCAGCAATGCACAAAAGAACCAAAATTAGCTGCGAAAAACTTGTTCAAGATTCTATCGACCGCAGCTCTGTTCCTGCTATCTGAAATTATATTGAAAGAAATTACAAAAAAAATACTCAGCAGTGGGGCTTGTAAGCACGCCAACATTCCTCTTTGCTTCTCCAAGTTACCTCTACGAATCTGTTAGAATCTTATCATAGTGAGTTGAAAAGAGCAACATCTTCATTCCATGGTTTAATAGGTATGTAAAATTTTGAAATAAAACTTCTCAAGATCATATGGCTGAATTCAGATAATTTGATACAATTTGAATTGTCTCTTAAAACGATTCAAATTGTATTAAATTATCTAAATTTAGTCACTAGATCTTAAGAAATTTTATTCAAAAAATTTTTTAAAAAAAGAGATTAAAGTTTTCATTTTTACTATTTATTTTAGGTGTAGCATATAATATTGTTGCTTTTGATAATAAAAAATGGTCTAATTCTGAGTTTGTCGCTTTCGATTTCCAGATTAAAAAAATATCTGCTTATGGTGTTGAGAATGATATTTTGATAGAAATTCATAAATTTCCTTATCTATTTCAGCAATTATTAGTAAAGGAAGCCTGTGCTGTGATGAATAGAATCGAAAAAGGTAAAGGCCCTCCAGGTTTAACTTCACTAGACTGCTATTGCCTATTTCGCACTTATTACATATTGCCTTGTTGGCATATTTTTTACGAACATACATATAGTGCTGTAAAATTATTAACAACCAACGTATAGAGAAAATTTCAGGAGATGTTCGAAGAGAGTGGTTTTGAAGTTTACGAAGGACGTGAGTTAGTGATAGTAGAATTAGTACAAACAGAACAACAAAGAAAAACTAAAAATCTAAAACTTACCATGAATGAACTTAACGAAAGGGTATGTAACAAATATTGGAATACTGTATCTAGTAGAGACATTGAAAGGGCAGAAGTTTTCATCTCAATGTTAGAAACTTCTTTAGAGTCTTTTTTTTTACAATTTGACCGTTTAAATTTAAATAATTAAAAAAATTGTTAATAGACGAGTAGGTAGGCGAACTAGCTTTATTGCCAATATAGTAAATGAAGTGTTCAATGGTACTAGTTGAGTGGGCGAACTGGCTTTATTGCTAATATAGTAAACGAAGGGTTCAATGGTACTAGTTAGATGAGTGAATGGGCGAATTGGTTCTGTAAGACCAAGGCGATAAATAGAAGAATTTGAGTGAAATATATCCAAAATAGTTTTATGTAAATAAAAATAAGTGTTTACTTGCATACATTTAAATTTTGTTATAAATATTTTACAGATTGAATTTTATGTAAATTTAAATAAAATTCTAAAGTTTTGGCACGGTTTTATTCTATTAGGCAAAATTTAAAAGATATCCTAGCAATTGCCTAATAGATTTAATGAAATTTTGATATTTCGAATCATTATAGAATTAAACATTAAAAAAAAATTCATCGAATTCTATTAGGTCGCTGCTGAGATATCTTCATTCAAAGTTTAGGTAGTATTGACGCAGTTTAATTTTATTAAATGTTCAAACTTTGAACGAAGATATTTTAGCAACCACCTAATAGAATTCAATATGTCTTTTTTTATTATAATTTAGCTAATTCATATAATTGAAATAAAAATTTTTGTCGAATTCTACTAAGTAGTTTGAGATATTTTCATTCAAATTTTAGGTAGTTTTGACGCAGTTTAATTTTATTGAATGTTTAAATACTTCGAACGAATATATCTCAACAACCTCCTAATAGAATTCGACAAAAATTTTTTATTTTAATTATACAAATTAGCTGGATTACAATAAAAAAAAAACTCTTTGAATTCTATTAGGTGTTATTCTATTAGATGTTGTTGAGATATCTTTGTTCAAAGTTTAGGCAGTTTTGGTGCAGTTTAATTTTATTAAATTTTCAAAACTTTGAATAAAGATATATCATCAACCACCTAATAGAATTCAATGAGTTGTTTTTATTGTTATTCAGCCAATTCGTATAATTGAAATAAAAAATTTTTTATCTAATTTTATTAGGTGGTTGCTGAGATATCTTCGTTCAAAAAATTTTAATGCAGTTTCTATTTAGTTAAATGTTTAAACTTTGAGCGAAGATATCTCAGCAACTATCTAATAAAACTCAATGAAATTTTTTATTTTAATTCTATAAATTAGTAGAATTAGAATAAAAGAAATTTTATCAAATTTTATTAGGTAATTGCTGAGATATCTTCGTTCGAAGTTTAAAAAAAATTTTAGATATTCTTTTTTTTAACCATTTATCGCTTTTCGATTTTGGCCAATTATCATGATTATCACGTGATTCTACTCTGCTTTAGATGACCCCCAAAAAGGAAGTGGTTGTAGCATGCTGATCTTTTGGAGGGGGTAAGCCAAATTCACCACTTTTTGACAAAAAAGATTATAAGAAAAAGAACGAGAGTGCGAGTAATCCAAATTAATATTTAAAGAATATATTGCAAATTTTATATTCAAATATTTTTGAATAAGTCTTCTTCGCCAAAGGGTTATACCACTAGAAACACCTTCTTTTTTTCTAGCTTGGATGCCGAATAGTATAGAGGAGTCCACAAGCAAAAAGTTTGACCTCTATTAAAACCATAGAAGACCGAAGTTTCTTATTCATACTATCTTCTTAGCTAAACTTCTTACTTTGTTGAGGTATCCTTTATAGCAAATATTACTTAAATAAAAAGATTTTTTATATAAAATATTACGTTTGTTTTTCTATGAATTTTGGTACAAGTGATCAACAGGAAGAGTTTTTTTTTGTTAATTCTACTGTTCTAGAATTTATAATTATATAAAGAATATATAATAAGCTATATATATAATTTTAGTTATTATCTAATTTAAGTAGTCTGTATATAAATATTAGACTATCTATTTGTTCTATACTATATTATTATATTTACAACTTATCTGTGAGTTATCTATTTAAATACTCTAATTATTAACTTATTCTCTATACTAAACTAATATTACTATTATATTTAACTATTTAAGCAAACTAATTTAACTTAGCTATAGATCTATTTACTATACAACTTAGTCTTCTTAAAATATATATTGCTTAATATATAATAAGTATACAAAGTTCTAGTTAATTTTAAAAATAATTTCTACTAGAGTAGTCATATGGGACCTTTGCTAGCAAAATAGAATTCTGAGATCTTTCTAATCAAAAATAAGATTTTTGCTAAATATTAATCTTTTAGATAAAAACTTTACTTGATATAATTTTTATACCTTATTATCTTAGTACAAAAATAAATTATTTGAATCTGAATTTTTTGAATATAAAATCTAAAAATAGAATTGAAAAAGGATCTATATATTGTGACTATAAACAATAACTCAACTTCTACCAATTATCACAATCTAATTAGTTTGTAATTTAGAGTATTAAAATATGATTGATCATACAATTATCAGTTTAGTTTTAGTTTTTAGCATTTTATCATTTTATATCTATTATTCTAGTTAAACTTCACACTTTCTTTTTTACTAGCTTTTATATCTTTTTATTTCTTCGTAAAGTTTTTGCTTTCATCACTCTATAACTGCAATTATTATCTTTAGTACTATAATTACTTTGATGCTTAGCTCAGGTACTAATCTTCACTAGTATGTATAGTACTGTTTTTTTTTATGAATTTTGCATTTTTTCTTTGTTAGTATTTTTCTCATTATTATCTTTACTATTACTCTAGTTTTTTTGTTGCTTATTTATTACTTCAGGTTTGTGTATTATTTTTTAGTTGAACTTTTGCATTTTTCTTTTTACTGATTTCTTTTTTTCTTTTCATAGAACTTATTGTTAATACCCTGAGTTCTGCCACTTTTACAGGTTTCTCTACCATTATTTTATGTTTTTTTTACTACTTTAGCCTATTATTTTATCACTTTTTATTACTATTTTATTACTTTCTGTACTGTTTTACTACTTACTATACTGTTTTATCACTGTTTTGTTACTACTTCACCTCTTTAGCTCCTATAACTATTACTTGCTATCTTTTAAGATATTACAGCATTGTTTAAGCTAATTTTAATTATTTATTGAGATTTTTTTAATTATTAAACAATAAATCAGCCACTGTATCTATTTATTTATTTTATTTCTAGATTTTTACAATATACATCTTTATATGGATTAGGTATATATTGTCATATTTTTGTATACAGATAGTATTTTCTTTCTTTTATTAATAGCTTAATACTTATAGTTTCTAATGTGATGTAAGGATTAAAGTTATTGTTACATAATAATTGAAAGGGTATTTTAGCCCTTCTAGATTCTGTTAATGCATAAACTTTTCCAATATCATTAGATAAATTATTAAACCTAAAATAATAATATTGTTTTATATTAGAAAAGTTTCTAAAATAATCTTTAAATAACAAAGAAAAATTATTCTATATCTAATCTAATCTATTATTATATAAAATTAATGTATTTCCTTTTGATAAATTATTGATAACTTGTTCAATATCAGTTTGTGTATTAACAATTTGATTTCTATATAATTTTTTTATTTTACTAAAAAAAGAATTACAAATAAATTTTGTATGACCTAAAATCATAAAATTTATCATAATTTCTTTATACCAACCTAATATTATTAACCAACAATAAAAAAAAGTGATAAGTTATTTTTATTTTGACTACTACAGTTATCACAAGTAATATGCAATTTTTTTTTCTTTACATGCAAATTTTTGAAAAAATCAATAAACTATATTAAGTGTAGTATTGGTGCCTTTAGATTTACCTTCTTAAAATTCATCTTTACTCATTACAAAATTTAATTAAGAGTTTTAACCATCTTTTATTTTATATACACTAAACAAATAAACTGAAAATAGACTTTTAAAATAAATTGATTCTACTTGTTGTAGTAAGTATAGAATTAATATACATTGTGCCTAATCATAGCAAATATGTGCAATTGACAAATTTTTTGTGCTTTTATTTATATTATTATTGTAATAATGTCTTTTACAATCTGCTAAATCATGATATTAATTATATTTAATTTTAATTTAATCATAATTATCTTTATTAGACTTCTCTACTAATAATTTTGTTTTAAAGGTTTTACAAACTTCATAAAGATCACTCACAGATGATTGAAACTTGAGATGAGGTATTAGTTAACTTCAAAGCAAACCTACTAGAATAGTCTATATCTATTTTATGAATTCATCTAGTTTAGACTCTTATAGATATTTATACAACTCCAGGTTCTACTATAGTCCTCCACTAGTTAGTTGATCTAATTCTTTTCTAGTATTCAGCTAGTCTCAGTTACCTTTTACTCAGAGATCTCAAAACCTTCTACTTTTATTAGACTAAGTTTTCTTCTTAGATCAGACTTTAGCTGATATATTCCTGTTAGAAGATTGTATTATTTCACTAACTCAGGATTTCTATTATGCAGGTCTTCTGCTTATATATTTTATCAAGATTTATTTATGTAATATTATACTATACTTCTAAGTTTTGATCGATTTGATACAACTCAATTTATAGAAATATACCTTCAGAAATAAATAGAATTTATTATAATATATCACAAAATTTGGAAAATTATTCAAATTCATTAACAGTAGAATTTGAACTCCAGACCTATTATAATAGTCTGACAACCTAACTACTATACTAGATTGCTAAACCTTATTAAGATTTTTTTATATAATATTATATTATACTTCTAAGTTCTAATTAGTTTAATAAAACTTAATTTACAAAAGTATATCTTCAGAAATAAACAAAATTTACTATAACATATTATAAGGTCTAAAAAATTATTCAAATTTATTAATAATAAGATTTGAACTCTAGATTTATTATATAGTAGTCTGTAATTTAACAACTATACTAAGATTACTAGACTTTTAATTTAATTTTTTTATAAAAAATAAACTTTAATTAAGATTAAGATTAGAATAAAGTCTAAAAATTTATTTAGATATTAGATATATATACAAAAATTTAACAAGAATTTTTTTTATTAAATTCTTAAAACTAGTTTTATAAGTAAAATTTTAAAATATATATATTTATTATTATT